CCCAGCAATGATAGACTTAGCATGTTACAACACATAGATCCATCTGTAACTAGCTCTAAAGTAGATCATTGTAACATTTGTCATTTCTCCAAACACAAAAGACTACCCTTTCCTGTCAGCACTACTAATGCAGACAAACCTTTTCAACTTATTCATGTGGATATATGGGGTCCTTTGTCAATCAATTCTTATGATGGATACAGTTATTTTCTTACCATTATGGATGATTGTTCAAGGGCAGTTTGGGTTTATCCGATGCACCATAAAAGTGAAACCAGCGATCTCTTTAAAGGCTTTTGTTCTCTTGTTAAAAACCAATTCAACAGTACAATACAGATTGTTAGAAGTGATCAGGGAAAGGAATTTGATATGTGTGAGTTTTTCCTGAATGAGGGTATTGAACACAAAATGTCTTGTGTATACACTCCTGAGCAGAATGCCAGAGTAGAACGAAAACACCAGCACATTTTGAATGTGGCTAGGTCTCTTAGGTTCCAATCTGGCATACCATTACAGTACTGGAGTGATTGCATACTACATTCTGTTTATCTGATAAATAGAATGCCTACCCCCATCCTTAACAATCTGTCTCCCTATAAAGTCTTATACCACAAGCCTCCTTTCCTTGGCAATTTGAGAGTTTTTGGCAGTTTGGTCTATGCTGGTACTCCTTCTGCAGGCAGAACTAAGTTTGCCCCTCGAGCCAGGCAATGTGTCTTGTTAGGTTTACCTTCTGGGATCAAAGGATATAAGCTTCTTGACATCAACACCAACCAGGTCCTCATCTCTAGGGATGTTGTGTTCTGTGAGTCAATTCTGCCTTTTAGAACAGTTGATGAATCTTCCTCTTCATCTTCTTCTCCACCTCCTGACCCTACTCAGCATACTTCACAAGTTGACCCCACTCCTCCTCCTGGTCTGGTCATACCTAGTTCTTCTATCTCAGATTCTCAGCCTCCACCATCTCCTGAATTGGCCGTGGCTGAAGAGGGGGATGTAGTGGTAGAACATGAAGACCAAGAGATAGTAGAACTTGAACCAGAGTTGGAGCCTCAGCAGGATTATGTACCACCTGCAAGACCTAAGAGGAATTATCACTTGCCTGGCAAGTATGCTGACTATGAATTGGATTCGACTTTACAGTTTGGAGCCTTTGGCAGTCACAATGCTGCAACTGCCAGCAGATATCCAGTGGTTCTAAATGTGGATCATCTCAATGCTGAAGATAGGAAATATGCTTTGAGTGTAATCCAACTAGAAGAGCCTCTGACATATCAAGAGGCAATCAAACATGAACACTGGAGAAGAGCCATGAGGGAAGAATGGGATTCTTTAGAAGAAAACCAAACATGGGATATAGTTCCATTACCAGCAGGGAAGAAGGTAATTGAAAATAAGTGGGTTTACAAGATAAAGCTTAAGCCAGATGGATCTCTTGAGAGGTTTAAATCCAGACTAGTAGCTAAAGGGTACACACAAGTCTATGGAATTGATTTCCTAGACACCTTCTCTCATGTGGCCAAAATAAACTCAGTAAAAGCACTTCTGGCTATTGCTGCAGTAAAGAATTGGACACTGGAACAGATGGATGTATCAAATGCATTTCTTCATGGAGACTTAAATGAAGAAGTTTACATGCAGCTACCACCTGGTTTGGATTTAGAGTATTCTGGACCACAGAAGATGGTATGCAAACTGAAGAAATCATTGTATGGACTGAAGCAAGCCTCTAGACAGTGGTTTGCTAAGTTGAGTTCTTTTCTTTTGAAAAATGGTTTCAGTCAGTCTGCATCAGATTATTCTTTATTCACAAAGTGGATTAAAGGCAGAATTGTGGTAATGCTCATCTATGTTGATGACATTATAGTAGGAGGAGATGCCTTGAAGGACATAGAACAGGTCAAGAAGGTTCTGTGTTAGGAATTCAAAATGAAACTTCTAGGTCCCTTGAAGGATTTCCTTGGTTTGGAAATAAATAGAACTGCAAATGGCATAAGTGTGTGTCAGAGGAAATATTGCTTAGAGTTGTTAAATGAGACAGGTTACTTGGAGTCTAAGGGTTGTCAAACACCTGTAGACTACAAAGTGAAGTTGTCAGCAACACAGGGTACCCCTTTGGCAGATGCAGAGCAGTACAGGAGGTTAGTGGGAAGGCTCCACTATATCACCATAACAAGACCAGATTTGGCATTTGCTGTCCAACAGCTTTGTCAATTTCAGAAGAAGCCTCATGAAGAACACTTGCAAGCAGCTCATAGGGTCCTAAGGTACTTGAAGAATGGACCTGGTCAAGGAATTCATTTTGACAGTAATGCTGAATTGAAGTTGACTGCTTTCTGTGACTCGGATTGGGCAAGCTGTCCAGACACTAGAAGATCCACTACAGGTTATTGCACTTTCTTGGGAAAATCTCTGCTAACATGGAAGACTAAGAAGCAGACCACTGTTTCTAGATCCTCCTCAGAAGCTGAGTACAGGGCTCTAGCAATGACTGTGTGTGAGATACAATGGTTGAAGGGACTGCTAGAAGAACTGAGTGTTAAGGTGCCCCTACCTATCACTGTTTACTGTGATAACAGATCAGCAATTCACATTGCTGAAAACCCTGTGTTTCACGAGAGGACCAAGCACATAGAGATCGACATTCATGTCACCAGAGAAAGGATTAAAACAGGTTTGATTAAGTTACAACATGTCAATACTTTGAACCAGCTTGCAGATATCTTCACAAAGGGATTGGAGCAAGCAAGGCTTAAGAATTTGCTAGTCAAGTTGGGAGTCTTGTTGCCTGCCACAACTTGAGGGAGGCTGACAGAGTTATGGATCAGCAAATCCAGAATGAAGAAGGATTGCAGAAGAGCAGATAGAAACGCAGTCGTTTAGAATAGCTTCTGTCTGTAAGAGGTGCTGCGACACCGTTTTCTTTATAGTTGAGATTAGCCGTTAAAACACTGTTTAGTGTTTAAAACTAGCCAGTGACAGAGAGACACTTGGCAACTATTTGTAATCCTGGTTTATGAGCTGATATAAAAAGAACAGAGCAGCAAACTGCTGTCTCTGTGATTTCGGCGACATTCTCAACCCTAAACAAAGAAAATCGTCAGGATCAGAGAAGTACCACATATTTTTTCTTATTACATGGCATGTAGTAAGAAAAGAAATCCTCAAAGGAGGATCCGAGAAGTACCACATATTTTATCGAATAAGAAACGAGAAGTAACACATATTAGTGTAAGATGGAAAAAAAAGTATAAGAGAACGAGTCGTGTGTGAGTCGAGAGGAGGTAAGAAATTTAACTTGTAGGGATTTAAACTGTGATAGTTTGAAAGAGAGGAAAGTGTGTTATCCACTACTACGAGGAATATTTGGAATACATGTTGGTGTGGTATTTCGGTCAATTCCCATATAATGTGGAATTGGAGTATACGCTATTCTCCAAATATCATATCAGGGGACAATGATTCGTATTTGTGAAATAACTTAGTTTTGTGTTTTTAATTATTCCCTTTTTGTCATCCCTATTTTCATATAAATTAACCCCAAAAATATCACTGTTTTTGCTTTCCAACTTTGTTAATGGCTTTTTCCGACCATGTCTTTACGAATTCATCTTCATTTTCTTCTTCGTGTTCGTTGTCGTCGGTTCTTCAATGTCGTCCAGTGAGTTTAGCATGCTTTTCTTTTTCGTTTATATAGTCAAAGAAGTCTTTGAAGGAGACATCGACCCATAATTTACGTTCTAACAGAGTTAAAAAAAAGAAGAAAGTTGATTTTTATTTCTTTAATAAGGGAAGAGTAAATGAGTATTTAACCATTTTGAGTGAGAATAGTAAAAACTTAATATCAAACTTTCTAAACTTATCCAAACATCGTATTTGATGAAATATCACATGTCATATACTATGGTATTGTGAAAAGTAGCAATTGACCACAAATACCACATTTACACAATATGCATTCCAAATGACACAAATTCTCAATTTTATTATAAATTTTGTATCTACTTATAAGTTATAACCATATCTAGACGTGGAGGGGGCTATAGCCTCACTATAACCTGTCTCAACCACTGGGAACAAGAAATAAGATTTTTATTTTAAAACTTTGAAGCAATTTGAGTTACGGGATCAATTGCTTCATGCGAAGTTTTCTACAAAGAATGAGATGTACTCGATTCCTCACAAATTCTTATATAAACAATTGATTAAATACATAGTATAGTGGCTAAGTGCAAATTTCATATTCATGGGGTTGAATCTATTTTATGACTCGGTTCTATGTAGATGACATGTTAAAACCACATCATGGATAATTAGATATAATTTGAATACCGTTAAGTCAACGGTTCATTCTAACTATCAGCCAAAAATTATATACCGACCCAAATCACTATAATTGTTTAGGAAACTATTGTCATTTCAAAAAGTCTATATTACAATTGGCATTTTTTTTTTATAGTTCAAGTTTTCTAGTTATATTTACTCTAAGCAAAACAAATGAAACTCCAAATCATAATGAATAGAATGCGACGTAAAAATTTAATGTAAATGATTATATCATTATACATGACTTTCAATTTGAATTATCCACATCAACCTTCCCCTCCTTCCCTTAAACTTAAACACTCGCTCTTGTACCAAGCTTAATTAGTGGTCAAATAAACCTCTACATGTGCCAATTACCCTATCATAATATCATCATCCCCAATTTGGCAAGGTCAAATAAACCTCTACATGTGCCAATTACTCAATGCAATTAGTTAATTGCCAAAAATTAGTTGAAACCGAAATATTTAATGTTTGCAGATTCACTTAGACCCCCTTTTTGGAAATTCATGGTCAAATAATAATTCACAAGGCTCAGCATAATTAATTAATTACCATTCTTGTCATCAAATGATTCACTATATAACAACACCAACCCATCATCATCCTCATTTCGTCACAGTGCCCAGACTAATTTTTACAGAGCATTATTATAATCCAAACAAACAAATACAATGGCATTGTTCAATTACTCGTTATTTTCCTTAGTTTCAGTGTTACTAATAATCTTCTGTGCATTTAGACTCTCCGCCGCAAGTTTCAGGGTAGAGCTGGCGCCGTCCCAGGTCGCGGCGCTGTGTAAGGAATCCATCAACCACACTTTCTGTCTCGACTTCCTGAACTCGACCGCCGGCATACCGGCGGCAGATCTCCTCGGCGCCGGCAAGATCACCCTCAAAGTGGGCCGCGACAAGGCCCTAGACGCCCGCAAGTGCGTCAAAGCCCTGCTGGCCCAAACAACTGATCCAAAGCTGAAGGAGAGCTACAAGACGTGCATGGAAAACTACGGGGATGCCACCGATGCCATTTCCGCCGCAAAAGCTTCGCTGGTCGCGAAAGACTATGCTACGGCGAACATTAAGATTTCAGCTGCGCAGACGGACGCGGACACTTGTGACGACGAGGTGAAAGGGCTGCCGGCGGCGGCGGAATTGGGTGAAAGGAACCGGTACTTGTTCAATCTTCTCAACATTGGTTTGTTAATCACCAATAAGTTGGGGGGTTTTCATGAATAATTACCGGTCGTTGTAGGTTGTTAATGGATTGTTTGTAATCGGAAGAAGAAAGTCTTTGAGTTTCAGAGATCGAGCATGCCGGTTTCCCGGTGGCAGAGAAAAATTATGATGGAAAATTGATGTCAATTTTAGTATTTTTATCGATGGTTCATGAGGTTTACTTGAACAATCTGATAAGGTTTTCCCCCTATTATGAGATGCCAAAGTATGATTACCTTTGAGTCAAAATTTGAAATTAGATGTGAATATATAAGTAAATAATTATAATTAAAATTGACTAATTGAGTAGAACGGGGAGAGCCAAGTGGTGAAGGCTACTGGTTCAGGCTTATCGTCGCTGAATAAAATCGAATAGAATAAGTGAGAAAAGAGAATCCGATTAGACATTTTTCCAATAGGAGATTTCATTTTTAGTGTAATAATTAATTTTATAACAATAAAATAACAAGAAGTAAGATTTAGTGCAGTTACAAAAATCCTTATGTCATTTCAGTGTTGTGATTTCAAGTCCTTGCATAAGTGTAGATAGCGAAATATTTTTTAAGTGCCTATCTTATAGTAGTGATCATCATGAGAACTAAGAGCATATTGTATATGAAAATAGATATTTATTAAGTTTTACATATACGTATGAAGTACATTTCTCTCTCTATCTCACAAGTCCACTACCACCTTCTCCCTTACTTTTGCTTCTAAGACCACTTCTTTACGTTTTTCTCAATTCTCCAAGCAAGAATTTGGGTTTATTCAGGCACAAGGAGCAAGGCTTGCATCTTTATGATGGTTTTCCTTTCCCTCTTTTGTGTTTTCCCTCATCCTAGTATGGATTAGTTCCTTTCTTTCACTTGGGTATTTGTAAACTCTAGCTACTATTATGTAAATACTTGTATGAATGTGTGTGGTTGTGTTTTAATGTGAATGTGGAGGTATTATTCGGAAATGATTGTGTTGTGTGAAAGCCTATCAATCTAATTGTCATTCTAACCTAGCTTAGAGAGGAGATCTCCTTAGGTCAAGAGGCTCCATTGGAGATGGATGTTCTTGGGAATTTTATGTCTCCTACGCTAGTTTAGAGAGGAAACCTCCTTTGTTTCCAAAGAGGCTCTATTAGAGCTGGGTTTGCTTGGGCATTCAATGCCTCCTAAGCTAGTTTAGAGAGAACCCTCCTTAACCTAAGAGGCTCTATTAGAGATGGGTTTTCTTAGGCATTCTATGCCTCCTATTCTAGGTTAGTTAACGGCCAAACCTCCTATTTCGTATTAAGGACTTAGGGTTTGGTTGTGGGTGGCCGTCCGAACTCCAATTCGAGGTTGAAGTCTAACCATTGTTTAGTCGATAGGTTGAGAGAGTCACATTCGTGGCTTGGATGGTATCCCATTGCTCAACCTAGAGGCGAAGAGGGTAGCTTTGACTGCTTGTTAGACTTCCCTGCGGTTTATGACCCACTAACCACACAGGGTCGTTCGAGTCTTCAAGTCGTAATTGTTAGTTAGGGGGGGCAACACCCAGGTGAAACTTTCTCAACTAGAGTCAAATCCATTTTACCTTTGCAAAACAATTTAGTTTTAGACACCAAAACTGATTCGCTAGATAATGTTTCAAACAGTCAAAGTAGCGGTACATGGACCGGCCCGGGTCGATATTTAAACATACTTGCCCTATATTGTACCCTTCTAAGGTTTATACTTAGACCTTATGTGAGATTTTATTGTGATAGTCAGAGCGAGTCAATGAACCATCACTACTTCAAATGACCTAGTACCACTTTAAAAATAAAACAAGAAACCAGTACTAAATTATACACAAAATGAAACACCTGACCATATTTTACATTAGATCCATATCATTTAAAACCTCAAAGCAAGCACGACTGTCAATTGAAAATCATTAAACTTCGCAACCCTTTAGATTACGAATACTTGGGTCTAAAAAACTCAAACTCATGTACACATGATACTAGAGAAGATTAACTTCTCCCATAAAACAATTAACATTCATGCCGAATTTTGAGTCCACTGCCCACCTCATTGATATTAAGTCCAGTCCGAACTTGTCCCTTGGCCTCTAGTTGGTAATCTCTGGAACTGGGGAAATTATTTGATGGGAGTGAGACATCACCTCAATGAGTAAATCTTAATATAATACCATAATTAATATAAACAGAGTATTAGGCAATCATGACAATTATCTTACATTTTCGCATTCAACTATACCATTCTAAACCACGATCATTATTATCCTAATACATCACACATTTTCTCTCATAGTACAACGACATACAAAACGACAATCATCAACGATAGCAACATTACAAATCACATATCACATTCTCACTTACGTCATACATACATCACCCAAATAACACACATATAACGAAACACAACATTCATATCACATCATATATAACAACTCCATAACCATCATCAACAGCAGATGCATCACCCACATATAAACAACATTCATAACAAGCATTTACACATATAATGTATTATGCAACACATCACAATTCTCCTCTAGCTAGTCATGCTCTACATAACTTCTTTCCCCACCACCTTCTCCTCCTCCTCTTCAATTCCTAAGCTCCTCCTCGCCACCAACCTAAGGCATTAGTGAAAAATCTCCCATGGCCCGGGAGATCGACATTAAGCTGATAATACACTCAAGTCCTTACGAAGAACTTATCACATCATTACTTTTCTACGCTTAGTGCATGACTTGTCGTAGAGGTCCAAATATTCTCAACACACACAATCATAGAAGAATGCATTTCACTTCAAAACACATCAATTGCATCATCATTATCACAATCACCAAAGCATCATCATCATTATCAACATCACACTTATCATAATCTCCATAGTCATCAAATCATCACAATCATCACTTCATAATCATCACCATAATAATCGCTATTGTGATCATCAACACCCTCAACCGAGTCATTCATCCATACAACAAGAATTCACAATATTTCACATCATATCACATCAAATGACATCACATCATCATCGTCATATTCATCACTCTTATCACCATCACCGAGACATCTTCATGTCTCTCTCATCCATAATTCATGCACATATCACAATATTGTCATCACAATCATATCAATCATAAACAAATCATCATTATGACATAGAGGCTTATCTAGCATCATTTCAACCACAATCATATCATGATTAATCGTACCTTTTCATATCCATTACATATATTCCTTTTCATATCCATTTTAAACACACACTTAAGCACATAACAACAAACCACATGTCCAAGCTATTTATCTTGTGTTTGGACCGCTTCATGAACCAAAATACTACGCTCATATTAATTATACTACTATGTTAAAGTTTACTCACGGCTTATGTCGTTACTCAGTGATTCCATGTCCTTTGAACGATTCTCCAACTTGATCCTTATCTTTAATAAGATTATAACACATTAAATAATCCATAATAGACATAATAATCACATGTATGCATATGAAATGGTTAATTAACTCAAATTAGGTTTAAATCCTAAATTTCCTATGCAATGTATCAAAACTCGGTCTGCCTCCCCTGAAAAACTCGAACGAGTTTTAGGTGGTTCCTGGCCGAGTTTTCTTCCTTTCTATCACCAGTGAAAACTCGGTCGTGGGCCTCTAAAACTCTCTCGAGTTTTCTCCAACCTTATGGCCGAGTTTTTCATCCTCGCCTCTGGCCAAACTAAACTCGACCACGACACCTAAAAACTCGGTCAATCCTTCTCAAAACTCCGTTATGCAGTCTTGGACCCCAAAACTCGAGCTTATCTGAGTCCATCTTCGATAGTGAAAACTCGGCCAGCTGAGTCAAAAACTCGGTACATTCTATGGCCGAGTTTTCCTACCCGAGTTCACCATTTTAGCCATTTCTCCCTCAATTCTTAACCAAATCAATCCATTCATTTTCCTAATTAAAACTAGATTCATAGGGATACGACATATCAAAATTTCAGATCATTTGGACCAGTGGTTTGGATTCTAAACTCAATTTAAATTGAAGGTTCAAAACAGATTTCAGCACATGTGCCCTGTTTTATACATACGGACTTCAATTAATTGCACATCAAATGAACTCTGAAGATTGCCATATTTTTTACATATATACCTCAGGTTGTGATTAATAAGTTTTAAGAAGGAAGCTTTCAAAAATTCATTCAATTTCCCATTTGTTTTCACTCTCCAACATAACTTCATCAAGGGTCCTAACAATCCATCTCATTACTTCTACCCCAAGTTTTTATCGTTAAAAGTTCTATCACCCTTCTGCTGAATTTATCCCCATGATCATCATCATTATACATGCCTCAAGGATTCTAACCCCTTTCCATCTCTATCCTCCGCTTCCAACTAAATCAAGAAGTTTAATTTGAAAGGAGAATGAAAGGAAGACATGACCATACCTTGCTTATTATGATTTTTTTCTAATCATCCTTCTTTCTTAGCTTTCTGCTTTAATTTATAGCTTACCTCTTCTCCAAGTTTCAGATTTTGAAATACTTCTTGATGGTGGTTTGGAGATGGCAGGAAAGAGAGAGCAAAGGAGAGAGGGAGAACGAGAGTGAGGAAAAGGAGGAGATGAGAATGCAGAATTTTGTTTTGTACTCTTAATCTCTAGAAACCTCTCTTAGTCCTTTAACACTTCTTTTCCCCACTTTGTTGCTAGAGTTTTCCAGAAGAAGAATGGAGAAAGGGGTAGAGAAGAATGGGGAGAAGAGTGTGTGAAAGGGGAAGAGAAGAGGTAGAGATGCAGAATCTCTTTTCCCTCTTAATTTCTAGAGATTTCCCATCCCACTCCTCCAGTTGGGCCAATCAAAACCACTTCCCAATTAACCTTTCTAACCCAACTCTAACTAGGATTTTTCTCTTACCCAACTATTAGCTTATTGTTAAGTGGTTCAACCCTTAACCCTTCTTACTGAAAAATCGCTATTCTTCCATAGCTAACATAAGCTCAACCAGAGCCAACTAATCCCAACCT